AAAAAAAAGAGAAAGAGAGAAAAGAAGGAAGGAAGGAAGGGAGGGAGGGAGGCTCAGCCAGGTATTGTGGCAGGTGCCTCTAGTCCCAGCCACTTGGAAGGCTGAAGAAGGAGGATCACTTGAGCCCAGGAGTTTGAGTTTGCTGTGAGCTATGCTGATGCCACAGCATTCTACTCAGGAAGACAGAGTGATACTCTGTCTCAACCAAAAAAGAAAGAAAAAACAAAAGGGAGAACTGTTGACAATTAACCTGCCATGTTCAACTTTTTTTTTTTTTTTTTTGAGACAGAGCCTCAAGCTGTCACCCTGGGTAGAGTGCAGTGGCATCACAGGTCACAGCAACCTCCAACTCCTGGGCTCAAGTGAGTCTCCTGCTTCTGCCTCCCAAGTAGCTGGGACTACAGGTGCCCACCATAATGCCCGGCTATTTCTTTTGGTTGCGGCCATCACTGTTGTTTGGCGGGCCCAGGCTGGATTCGAACCCGCCAGCTCAGGTGTATGTGGCTGGCGCCTTAGCCACTTGAACCATAGGCGCCGAGCCCAACTTTTCTTTATGGGAGGAATACAGAGGTTGCATGGTGCTACTGTTGCCACCCAGCCAGGTTCACCTGCCCTCTGCCCAGGAGAAAGCCAATGTCCAGAGAAAGAGTTTATTATACATAGTGGAATTTTTCAAACACATTTGAAGATTGGGGAGTCAGGGGTTTTAAAGACAGTTTAGTGGGCAAGGGTTAGGCACTCAGGGTCTGTTAATTGGCTGGTCTTGAGCAGAACCATCAGTCCTTTGGTGCAGGCTGCCATCTGGGTGAGTAAGCCAGTCCACCAGAAAGCATTTCCTTAGATGGAGGGTCCAAGGCCAGTTGACTCAGTTCCTTGGTCTGTGTGGGTCAGTCTATGCCCTTTAAGAGGGGTTATAGACGTAGGTATACAGAGTATAGAATTTTTTGAATATATTTTTTGCTTCTTATTTATTCTAAAAGTAGCAATATTTTCATAATTTTAACTTTCACTTTTTAATGTACCATTAGTCAACTTTTTTTTTTTTTTTTTTTTTTTAAGAGAGAGAGAGTTTCATTCTGCTGCCCAAGCTAGAGTGTAGCAGCATCAGCCTAGCTCACAGCAACCCCAAACTCCTGGGCTAAAGTAATCCTCTTTCTTCAGCCTCCCAAATAGCTGGAACTATAGGCACCTGCCACCACCTGGCTGAGTTTTCTATTTTTTTTTTTTTTTTGAGACAGAATCTCACTATGTCGCTCTCAGTAGAGTACTGTGGTGTCACAGCTCACAGCAACCTCAAACTCCTGGCTTAAACAATTCTCTTGCCTCAGCCTCCCAAGTAGCTAGACGATAGGCTCCCACCACAATGCCCAGCTATTTCTTTCTTCTTTTTGGTCATTGTTGTTTAGCAGGTCCAGGCAGGGTTCGGCCCTGCCAGCCCTGCTGCATGTGGCTAGCGCCCTAACCCCTCAGCTATGGGCACCAAGCCTGAGTTTTTTATTTTTTTTTTTTTTTTTGAGACGGAGCCTCAAGCTGTCCCCCTGGGTAGAGTGCCATGGCATCACAGCTCATAGCAACCTCCAACTCCTGGGCTCAAGCGAGTCTCCTGCCTCAGCCTCCCAAGTAGCTGGGACTACAGGCGCCCGCCACAACGCCTGGCCATTTTTTTGGTTGCAGCCATCATTGTTGTTTGGCGGGCCCGGGCTGGGGATTCGAACCCGCCACCTTAGGTGTATGTGGCTGGCACCTTAGCCGCTTGAGCCACAGGCGCTGAGCTGAGTTTTCTATTTTTAATAGAGACTGGGTCTTACTCTTGCTCAGGCTGGTCTCAAACTCCTGAGCTCAAGCAGTCCACCTGCCTTGGCCTCCCACAGTGCTGGGATTATGAATGTGTCACTGCACCTGGTCCACTTCACCTTATTTTGCCTGCAGTTTCTGAAAGACATTACATTGTAATCCCTACTCTTATTCCTCTGCAGGGAAAGTGTTTTTCCCCTCTGGTTTTCTTCAAGATTTTCTTGTTGTCTTTGGTTTTATTCAGTTTGAGTAGGACAGGCCTGGGTGTGGTTTTAGTCTTGTTTTGCTTTATTTTTTGACACTTGCCTTGCTTGATGTTCTCTGTTTCCTGGATATATGGTTTGGTGTCTGTCACTAATTTTATGATTTTCTCACCATTCCACCATTTCTTATGCTCCCCCTCCCCTGGTGCTCCCAGTGTACTGGTTACACCCCTTGACGTCATCCTGGGATGGTCTGCTGTGTTGTTTCCCCCATCCTTTTTTCTCCTTGCTTTTCAGCCTGGAAAGTTTCCATAGACCTACCTTCACATTCACTGAGTCTGTTCTTTGTTCTGCCAAGGCAGCTGATGAAGCTGTGAAAGTATTCTTTCTATCTGTTAGTGGGATTTCCACCATTGTCTTTTAATTCCTTCTTATTGTTTCCATCTCCTGACATGACCTGTCCTCTCTTGCATGTTGTCCACTTTTTCCATTAAAGCCAGTATGTCCTGTGGCTTCTGTTTTGGGTGGCTGTGACTGTCTCTTCAGATTTGAGGGGCCAGTGTCTCCTGTAGTCTTAATTCTCTACAGGCCACAAGAAATCCTGCTGGCTTGCCATCTCCCCAGCTATTTTTTGCTGCAAGGATGAGAGTAATGACTGCCAAGCACCTTGCACATGGGACCTGACACCACAAGTTTCTCTGCTGCTGAATGTTAGAGCCAAGCCCCTAGGGTTTTTTTTAATCTCATCACAAGTTTCCTCAAGAACCAGGGTGAGTGGCTAGCAGCCCTCCTCCAACATCCCAGACTTAGGACCAAGGCCACTTATGTTTACTTTTCATTTCAAAGGCACCATCCATTAGGCAACTTTTGAAATGGCTCCCAGGGTGTCTATACTCAGGTAACACTCTCTGGGATGGGCCCTCAGGACTTGCTCCTCAAGAGCAGATGGAAAGAGTGACCAGAGTACCTCTACTTCCTCTCTGATGACCTTGCTGGTCACTCACTTTGGGCTTCTGTGTTGGTTTCCAGTGGCTTCTGTGACAAATTCCCATAACCTAGGTAGCTTGAAATAACATAATTTATTCCTTCACAGTTCTGGAGATCACACCTCTGGAATTAGTTTTACTGGGCTGAAATTGAGGTGCTGGCAGGTCCATGCCGCTGTAGATGCTGCTGGGGAGTTGCTTCTTTGCTTCTTTCAGCTTCAGATGGCTGCATGCCTCAGCTTGTGGCTGTAACAGGCCACTCTTCAAAGCCACATCTTCAGATCTCCCTCTGCAGCACCTTCACATGGGCTGCCCTTCTGTGTGCCATCAATTTCTTCTTCCTCTTATGAAGAATCCTGATTGTGTTTATGGCCCACCTGGATAATCCAAGGTGGATTAATTTAATCTCATCTGCAAAAATTTTTTTTTCCATAAAAGGTAAAATTCACAGGTTGCTGGAATTAGGATATGACATCTGTGGGGGTTGTTTTCCAGCCTTACATGGGCTGGCTGGTCTCTTCTGTTTGGGAGAGCAGAGTACTATGTGACATCAGTACCTGTGAGGAGTGCAGTTCTGAGTGCTGCGCTGACCTAGGTTTGGATCCCAGCATTCAAAGGGTACAAACCAACTCTGTAGTTGCCACCCCACCCTATGGACACCCCACAGAGGGCCCCCATAGGGTGGGGTGGCAACTACACCCTCTGTGGGGTGTGCACCAAGAATTCAAGGTTTGTATCCACTTAGTGGACTCCTGAGCTGGGATGCGTGCCTTGGCACACTCTGGAAAGTAGTAGACTATGGGCTGGCCACCAATTCGCCTAATGGGCTCCACATTCTCTCAGCCATGTTTGGGACAAAGGAGGTGTAAGGCGCTCTAGTGAGACAGAAGGGAAGGCTGTGCTCCTAGTCCAACCTCCAGGAGGAAAAGAATGGAAGATGTTAGGGGCTCTAGAGCTGGGAGGAGGGTGTGACTAGGTAAGAACACCTACTTTCTTTCCCAGCCCTGCCACAGCCTTCTTCTGTGTCTTTGTTCCCCTACACTTTCTAGTGCTGCTTCTCTGAATAGTGCTGAGTGGGGTAGGGGTGGGGACACTGGAGGGGCCCTGATGCTGTGTCTTATCTGGGAATCTCCTTGTAACCCTGGCCTGCTGGGGCTACTCTGAGTTAGGCTGTTAATAATCTCTGTGATTTTCCACAAAACCAACAAGGCAGGAAGCAGGAGGCCACGCCACTTGGACCTGGGGGAAGTGGACACAGATGTGAGGAAGCTGGCTCTCCCACACCTGCTGTGCTCCTTGCAGTGGCTGCACAAAGCAGGGGCGGGATGAGGGCTTTCTGCTACAGACCCCAAAGGCTTGGAGTTGGTCTCTTATGCTCTGGAGCTGCACCGGGTGGTGTGTGTGTGTGTGTGTGTACTTGGCCACAGGGTTGGCTCCACGCTCCCCAGTCTCCCACCAGAGTCTATGTCCTGGCCCTTCCGGCAGACCCCTCGCCTGGCCCCACCCGAGAGTGGTCAACCTTCTTTGGGGGTCAGAACTGCCTCCCGGACGCCACAAACTTCCCAGCGGACTCTGCAGGTCCCTTGAGTCAGGATCCAGCTGGACAGACTCGTCCTGATAGCAAATGGGCGCAGAGGCCCCTTGATATCCCCAGGACGTCTTGCCCTCAGGTGACGCGGCAAAGGGACCAAGTCCTCCCTGCCCCGGCACCGCGTCCTCCTTGCAAGCCTCATATACAGAAGCCCTTTGTCACCGGGATAGCTGGAGACGGTCCACGCGGGCATCTGGCCTGAGGATGCGGTTCGGCCAGGCAGCTATTTTCTGACCTGGGCCGGGCAGAGTTTAGCTGAGCGCTTGGTGGCCGTCCCCACAGCATCGGGATCCAGGACTCTCACTGCCTGGCGCGTTCTAGGACCCAGTGGCGTCGCTCGGCTGCCCAGGGGCGGGCCGGCTTCTGGGCATTGTGACGTCACGAAGGCGTGGCTCCCAGCGCTCGCGCTCACAGACGGACAGACCAGCGGAGCGCGCGCTGGTAAGGGGCGCTCGGATCCCTGGCGTTCTGCAGGGCGCGGTAACTCTAACCCTATCCCTTCCTGGGGGTTTGTGCAGGGCAGTCCCCGGGGGCCTAAGACTTGGAGCCAGAATACTGGGTCACGGCCGCCGGCCTCAGCCGTGAGTGCCCCACCGGGCCGCGCGCCCCCCTATCCCGGCCAGTCTTCCCCCCACCCCACTGGACTGAACCACACCCTGGCAGTAAAGTCCCCTTCCTGGGTCGCCCTCTGGCACTCCTTCCCTCCACCGCCGGCCCTGCGCCCGCCGCCCCTGCCTAAGGTCCCTGTCAAGCCCCGCGGTGCGCCCTGGGCCTCGGGGCTGCGCTCTGTGCCCGGGCCTTACCTCTGTGCTTCCTTGCCAAGCACAGGTGCGCCCGGACCCAGCCCCCAACCGATCGGACTTGAGTTCTTCACCCTCTTCCCTCCTTTCCAGGCGCCGATGGTGGCGGGTCGCGCATTGGCGGCGGCGGTGTGTTACCTCAGGGACCGGTGAGAGCCGAGGCTTCAGCCAGGTGTAGGCGGACCTCAGGCGGCGGGCGGGTGGCCCTGGTTCCGGGATGGAAGCGGAAGGCTTGGACTGGCTCCTGGTCCCGCTGCAGCAGCTGGCTTCCTGGGGGGCGGCCGGGGCCATGGTCTTCGGAGGGGTGGTGCCTTACGTCCCACAGTACCGGGACATCCGCAGGACGCAGAACGCCGAGGGCTTCTCCACTCACGTGTGTCTGGTGCTGCTGGTAGCCAATATTCTACGGATCCTCTTCTGGTGAGTTGGGGGCTGGCACCTAGGTGTCCCCGGAAAGATGGCTTTCTCCTTCTGGGGGTCTGGCTGGGGCCTCTGGCGCGCGAGTGCCCGCCCTTCTGCGGAGGAGCGCGGTAGAGGGTGCGCTGCCGTGATGGCCCGGCCCTACCTTGTGTGGTCTCAGGCAAGTGACAACTTCTTATGAATTTATGTTTCTGAAAATAGTGGTATTGGAGCAGAGAATCTCAAATATATCTACAGATCTGCCTCCTCCTCTAATGTCAGGCGGGCGGGAGGTGAGAGGCCCCGGGGACCGAGTCCCTCCCTCTGGGAATTTACATTTGCAATGGCGGGGGTGGGGGGTGAGGAAGCCGGGAAGAGGGTGGAGGCCGGGACCGCGGCTTGGAAGCTAAGGGCCTGCAGTCTGGTGTGGCATCCGGTAGGGGAGGGGCTGTCCTGTGGTTTTTCTTCCTCGTTTTCATAGGAAGTCAGATGTTCCGGCTAATACTTAAGTGGAGAATATTTTTTCTGCCCCTCTCAGGCCACCTTCTGTTGTTATTTGCATTTTGCTAAGGAAATTGAAGTTAATTTTAACAATTGTTCAGGGCAGACAATTGGAAGGGCAAATTTTCATAGGAAATGAAAGAGGTTTCGTAGCTGCATTCTGAGGCCAAAAAAGCTCCAATTTCCCCCTCTTCTGGGTAGTCTTAAGGCCACACAGAGCAGGACTTCAGGCAACTGGTGTCCAGAGCTCTGCCTTTTTATATCTGTAAGTTGACCCCCACTAAGGGACAGTAACACACTGGTCAACACACAGAGGTGGTCATCCTAAGGAACTTGGCCTACCATACTGGTATGCCCATGTGGTGCATGTCTGGCCTGTGAAAATTAGGTCAACTTAAGGAGGTGGTCAGTGGTCAGCTATGGAGATTCTACTGTAATTAGTTTTTAAATCAACCTTATGGAGATATGATTTACATAAAGTAATGTGTGCCATTTTAAGTGTGGAATTTGTTGAGTTCTGACAGATATGTCCACTTTGGATTCGTAGGCCCAGAAGTTCTCTTTGCTGCTTTGGGTCCTGTCCCAGCCCTGGCCTCCACAGCTGTTGACTTATTGTCCACTGTGTGCCAGGTCTACCCTACCTGGGATTTTCAGATGGTGGGCTCATGAGAATTTGTCTCCAAGGTGCTGACTGCAGCAGCTTTCTTGAGTTTGAGTCTTGTCTCTGGCCAGGCTGCAGCTGGGCAGGGGTCAGAGGTGCTCACTTTGAAGGGCCCTTCCTTCCTTCCCCTTTCCCTTTGGCTGAGGTGAGACACCCTAAAGTGTAAGGTGCATGAGGCAGGTCCTTAAGTATAATTGTGTCTAGTGCCGTTCACTTTTGTGCAGGGAGCAGACCAGCCAGCGGGCACCCACCATGTCTGGGCACACAGGGATTAGGCTGTGAGGGAACCCACTCAGCTTTAGGACTTTGCAGTACCCTTCCTCTAAACTAATGGAGGAGAACTGCCCAAGCTGGGGTTACCAAATGGGAAAAGTTCTATTTAGAGGTGTTTCCTCCCCAGTAGGCTTATAGTTCAGAATTGCTAAAAGAAATTACCTGATGTATATGCCAGTATCCTGTTTGGAGAAGTCAGAAATTAAGCCAGTTCCCTGGTGCCATCTTAACACTGCCTCTGGACCTCACTGGCATTTGACACAGAGCAGTGTTCCCATTCCTGATGAAGACAATGCGCTGGGAGTTCTCTCTTCATCTTGATTTCTTTCCTAGTAAAACACTGGGAGACTTCTGGGGTGGGGGCGGGAGGGGCTGAACTTCCTCCACTGCTCCTTTCCATAAACTCCACATCAGGAGCAGTCCTAGGTCCCTCACAGCCTGTGTGGCCACTGGGAACACACAAGGCCCTGATTCCACAGCACGTACCAGGAGACTGTGGTAGTCAAGCAGGGAGGGCAGAGGGTCTCTGCAGCCCAGGGGTGTGCCTTCCCAGTGCCTCACCCTGCACAGTTCTATAATCCTGCAGGGCTGATTTACTGTGTAAACTGAAAAAATTTACTAGAGTCCAACAGGCAGTCTGGGTACCACCCTAAGTCTGGCCCTCTGCTGAGAATGTTACCAGCCACTGTTCTTTCTCTTGAACAGCCATTTCATGCAGGGCGCTGCTGGTCAGAACTTAACAGGACTAGATAAGCTTACTTGCTGACATCTGAAGATCATTTTTTCACTTCGAAGGCCTACCATCATAGATAAGTTGAGGAACTAAACTCCATGGTACTAGTCAAAGACCGAGGGCACTGTGTATACCCAGTAAAGTGTAAACTGACTATAAATTTAGTCTAAAATAAAAATACTTTAAAGATATAACTAACCACTTTAAGAAAGGAAGATATATAACTTTATAATCTATGAAGGGAAATCTAACATATACCATAATAAATGATAACATTACTGGTATTTATTTTTATTGTAAAATTTAAAAGTAACAAAGAGAAAGAAGAGAGAGTTCTTTAAAGAGATATCCCTACTACTCTCCAAAATTGCTGACTTTTCTATAAATAAAAGTAAAACTTTTGATCTCATTTACTTTTTCACTGATGGGTTTGGGTAACAGATGAATTCCTTAGTCTGACAAGAGGTGAGGCAAGTACCAGCTTATTTCTTTCTCCAGACATTTTTTGTTTATTTGTGGTGTCAGATACACAAAAATTATGCATGTACCCTTCTTTTCTTTTTCTTTCTTTCTTTCTTTTCTTTTTTTTTTTGGCCCATCAGCTTTCATGAATGATTGTGATTGTGTGGCTCAAGATAACTCCTCTTCCAATATGCAATAGAGAGAGAGAAAAAAAAAGGTGGACACCCTATAAGAGCTTCTTGTCACCACTGCTGTGCTCCACCCTTACTAGGTTAGCAACCTTTTTCATTTAACAGGTTTTGAGGGTTTCCCATGTGTCAGAGGCTTCAGGGTTTGTGCCTCAGCGGAAGGGAGGAAGGGATATGTGGATTGTGTATGCTTGCATGTAGGTACAGGTTGGGAGAGAGCAAAGGGGGCTGAGGCAGGATCCAAGTGAGGTAGCTGGTGGGTCCACAGCAGGACAGCGCTGCACTTAGGAACTTCAGCATACTTCCAAGAGCCCAGTCCCTTTGGTCGGTGTCCTGTCCCATCAAGGATTGTGGGTGTGCCACATGTGAGAAGTTCTATAAACTGAAAAAACTTACGTAACTTTCATGCTTTTGTTTCTTATAATCCTTATTATCATTTTGCAAAAGTAGCATTCAGCAGATCACACGCCATGAGATGCTGATGTGCACAATTTGGCATCTATGGTATCAGAAGACAGGAAAGGGGCTGGCTCATGCTGTGTAGCTAATGTTTATGTGGAGGAGAAGAGGGTAAGGCTGCAGGGCTGGCCAGAGCCTCATCATCTCCAGGGGAGCCACAGCTGTGGGACACTCAGCCTTTGCTGGCTCTTAAGAATGAAAACACTGTATCAGAGATATGGTGACATTTTGCTACTGCGGGCGATAGATTCAGTGTTGCATAGGGGAGTAGATAGATACACAGCTTCTCTTCCATTAGTGTTTTTCTGTTACTTTGGAAAGCTGAGCCAGGGCACTCTAGCGTGCGCAAGAGAGTGAAACTTTGTCTCCAAAAATTAAATAAGTAAATAAATAAATAAATAAGGGAAGAAAACTTAAACCAATTACATAAGTAAAAAAGATATCTTTCTATTTTAATTAGTTTTTAAAAAATTACTAATAATGTTGAATTTTTTTTTCATATTTGTTTTGTTCCTAGTACATCTTTTTTTTTTTGAGATGGAGCCTTACTCTGTGCCCTGCTGGAGTGCTATGGCATCATAGCTCACAGCAACCTCAAACTCTAGGGCTCAAGTGATCCTCCTACTTCAACCTCTCAAGTAGGTGGGACTATAGGTATCCACCACAATGCCCAGCTAGTTTTTCTGTTTTTAGTAAGATGGGGTCTTGCTTTTGCTCAGGCTGGTCTCAAACTCCTAAGCTCAGGTGATCCACCTGCCTTGGCCTCCCAGAGTGCTAAGATTACAGGTATGAACCACTGCACCCAGCCCCTTATACTAATTTTGTGAAAAGCTGTGCTGGTTGAAATTTTGTCTTTTCCTTTATCCTAAAATTGGTTAAACCTTCACCTCTGTTCCTTCTCATTTTGTCTTAAATGTTCTTGGTCTTTACTGTGAGTATTTGGTTCATCTAGATTTGATTTTTGGCCGTGTGGTATGTAAGGAAACTCAAACCTTGATTTCCCCACATAGTTTCTCTATGAACATTTAAAAAACAGAAGTGGACTTTTGCACATGGTGGCCCACATCACTCACCCTCACTGCCAGAGATGCATGGGGGTGAGGCGCTGTTGAACAGCAAGGCAGCTCTTCTCCAGCATGCCCCAGAGGCAGCGGCTTGGCCTCCTGGCCAGTAGAGAAGAACTAAAGGTGACTGGGAGCTGGCTGTGTCCTGCAGCAACTGTAGGGTTGTGATCTGCCCTTCACAAATGAAGAGACTGAGGCCTGGGGACAGTGGGTCACAGGTGCTGGATCCACACAGCCTGTCCTGACAAGCCCCAGGTCACAGCTGCCTCTTTGCAGCCTGGTGTCCTCTTTCCCTGGGCCTGGTCTGGGAGACATTTCCTCCTCCCTCTGCTTCTGAGCCCTTCCCTGTGTGTTTCTCAGTCTTCACAGGAAAACAGCAGGATCCTGGGTGATCTCTGGGGATACAGCTGGTCTAACTCCAGCCCAACTTTCTATCTCCACTGGGGTATGGGCAGCTCTTTTCTCTGCCTTCTAGGGTCTCCTTACATTTCCATGACCCCAGGCAGCTGCTGTTTGTTGAGCTCCCAGAAGACATGGGAGAGGCTCCTGAACCAGTGGTGTGTTAGCCCAGATGAAACTGAGCCTGGAGAATTGGTGTGGCCATCCCCTGAGGAGTCAGTCCCTCTCAGCTCCCTGTATCCCCACCTACCATTATCTGCGGCTTTTTCCTTGTTGCTGGAGCCTCACCTGGAATCTGCTCCCTCTGGTGGCACCTTTCCACCTGCTGGGCCACAGGCTGAGTAGGCTCTGTGGGTGAATCTCTGAGCTGCTGTCCAGGGCACACTTTGAGCTGCCTGAGAGCCACCCTGGTTGGTTAGAATTCACTCTGGCAGTGAGCTATGATCATGAACATGGACTTGTAGCATTAGAGGGAATCTGAGGGTCAGTCTTCTACCTTTGTGGAACATTTTTCCTTTTCATATCAGTTACAACACCAGGCTGTATCCAAGTTTGTGATTTACAAATTGCTAGCAACAAATGTTTCTGCTGAGCTTGGTAAAAATGTCTTTTGTTATTTTAATTTCCTGCAGGATTCTGGTTAGTTCCCTCTCATGGTAGCCAGAGTGGATGGGTGGGCATCAGACCACCCCAAGAGGCAGACAGAAAGGCAGAGGCTATGGGCTTGTCACCTTCCAGTTTCTTGGCTTAGGAGGGTGGGACATTAGATGGCTCTGTAGGGTCTCCAAGAGAGCTCATATGTGATGACCACTCAAGTTCTGGACATATCTTCAGGCCAAATGAGCTCTGCAGGCTGGTTGTGGTGGGATTCAGATTAGGATAGGGTGGGAGCTTTCAAAGGATGGTGGACCCTGGCCCAGCCCTGGGGGTGGTGACCCTGCAGGCCTGGGGTTCCAGCGTCAGGGTGATTCCCTAGGTCCTGTCCTCCCAAAGGCCCGAGGTAGTATTGGTGAGATGCCCTACACTGGCAGAGAGTCAGCAAGAAGGCCTGGGAGCCTGGGATAGGCAGGGGTGTCAGGGAGGGAGGGGGCTGTGTCCTTGTTGCCTTTTATTCTCTGGTCGGGGTTGAGGGTAGAAATTTGGCTTCTGACCCAGTTGCTGCTCTGTCTGCTCTGTGGGTACCTTGGGCTGCTCTGGCCCAGCCACCCGACCTCCAGCCAGAGTGGGAAGGGCCTTGGACACCTGGGCTACACTGGAGGAAGGGACTCAAGACCCCTTACATCTGGTAGCTGGCCCTGGTGCAGCCAGGTGTGGGGCTCTGTGATCTGGTAGGGAGGCAGGAAGGAGACTCTGGCACTTGAAAGAACCCATGTGTTGTGCAAAAGGGTCTTAGGTCAGGCTGTCCCAGTGTTGCTGGCCTCTCCAGCACAGCCCAGCCCAGCCCAGCTCATGGTGATTGGAGTCTGTTGGCCACATGGTCTTAAAGGTCCCCCCAGTGCCCCTCTTCTGGTCAGGCTGCACCTGATCCCCTCACACAGGCTCCCCCAACATGGGCTCTCCCACCATGTAGGCTCCCCTCCACACATGGACTCCCCTGAAGTGGGCTTCCCTGATGTCTGCTGCCATGGGCTCCCCAGACGTGGGCTCCCCCCATGCCCACGCGGGCTCCCCTGACGCGGACTCCACTGACGCGGGCTTTGCACTGCAGGTTTGGGAGGCGTTTCGAGTCCCCACTGCTGTGGCAGAGTGTGGTCATGATTGCCACCATGCTGTTGATGCTGAAGCTCTGCACCGAGGTCCGTGTGGCGAACGAACTGAACATAAAACGCCGCTCCTTTGCAGGTTGGTGATTAATAACTTTCAGACATAAGGGCCCCACGAAATTGACAAGCAGAGCCTGTCTCAAGTTTACTGGGGAAATAGAAGCCAGTTTACATTATATAAATAGCTTCCATTTCACTGAATATGCTGCTGTCTCTGACTGATAGCATTTCTATATGTTAAATGACTTCCGAAAGTGAAGCATTTCCAGCCGTGAGGCAGCGATTGGTCTTCACACCACACCCTGGCTGAGGATTGCAGCTGTAGATCCTGAGTCAGAGCCAGGAGTGCCTCTGTTTGTGGCTCAGCTGGGTCACAGATAGTGCCCGAGAGGGCAGTTTCCTGTCTTGCAGGGTAGCTTTTATGTGGTACCCTTTTTTTTTTTACTGTCACCCATGACTGAGTTCATGGATCTTTCTCACATACAATGTTAGACGGGCACCCAGTGTTGGGCTGCATTGATGGAGGTGACCCTCCATGGAGTCATGTGTAAGGTCTGCATGCTCTGCGATCTATGCTTAGGACACACCTAACATGCTTGGCACACACCTAGCAATGCGTGACACATGTAGCACATGATTAGCCCATGTTTAGCACATACTTGGTATGTGCCACTCCTTAACATTTGTCAACTTGGAAAATAGAAAATACTTCTTGCTGTTTTTGCCTTCTCTCTCTTTCTCTCTCTCTTTTTTTCTTTTGATATAACATTTCACTTTGTCACCCCAGATAGAGTGCTGTGGCATCATAGCTCACAGCAACCTCAAACTCCTGGGCTCAAGCAGTCCTCTTGCCTCAGTCTCCTGAGTAGCTGGGACTACAGGTGCCTGCTACAACGCCCATCTCATTTTTCTATTTTTAGTAGAGATGGGGTCTCGTTCTTGTTCAGACTGATCTTGAACTCATTAGCTCAAGCGATCCACCCACCTCAGCTTCCCAGAGTGCTGGGATTACAGTCGTGAGCCACCATGGCCAGCCTGTTTTTGCCTTCTCTTCTGCAAGTTTCTTCCAATCTGACCTTCTTTGTTTGAACATGTAGGCTGGCAGGCTTCTTGAATGCAGGAGAATTAAAGGCTTCCTTGTGTCTTTCTTCTAATGCTAAATCTTAGACAGCTTTCACTTTAGTGTTGTCTGGAGGGTGGTGAGAGAGCACCCGATTTAATCTCAGCTGCTGCTTGGAGAAGCACTTTCCCCAGAGTTTGTTTAGCTTTGGGGCTACTGTACCTTTGAAATCTTACTGGGGAGCTGCCCAGACACTTGTCCCAGTCTCTATGTGCTCCTCCTTTGTGAGGACCCTTCCTCTTCCTTTTCTGTGTCTGTTTTCAGGGAGAGTTGAATGTGTGCTAAATCCAGTCTCTGGGAAGGCTACCCTGACTCTTATGAGTGACGTTTTCAGTGTGAAAGTTGCCACTGACATCTGTTTTCTGGTGTGTTTTGTTCTCACTCCCCTATTAATTGCCAGTTCTCCTCTCCCTGAGTAACTGCTCTCTACCCTCCTGTTGAGATTTGGGTTTGAAATTATAGCAGAGATAGTGCCAATTATACTACTGATCCTGCCTAGAAAGCTGGATTTTTTTTTTTTTTTTTTTTTGACACAGAGCCTCAAGCTATCCCCCCTGGGTAGAGTGCTATGGCATCACAGCTCACAGCAACCTCCAATTCCTGGCCTCAAGCGAGTCTCCTGCCTCAGCCTCCCAAGTAACTGGGACCACAGGCGCCCGCCACATGCCCGGCTATTTTTTGGTTGCAGCCATCATTGTTGTTTTGGCGGGCCCGGGATGGATTCAAACCCGCCACCTTAAGTGTATGTGTCTGGCACCTTAGCCACTTGAGCCACAGGCACCAAGCCGAAAGCTGGATTTTAAAACTGGTCCAGGTCTCATGCAAGGTGAGGGAGGAGCTGTGGCTGTATGTTTCTGCTCAGGTAATGCAGCTTTCTTCTTGTAAGTCTCTGACTCTTCCCCAGGCCCCTTGGAGCCTCAGTCTTTTTCCTGACTGCAAGGGAGGTTTGGAAGCTGAGAGAGTGCCATAGGCCTTGCTCAGCATTTCTATTGCTGTTTGGCTGTAGATTGGAAGCCAGGCTTTGTGCCCTTGCCTGATGCTGCTTAGGCCCCCATGTGGTACATGGACATGGGTTCCAGATATCACAGGTTGTGAATATCTAGGAAGTGTGGCCCACTTAGTGAGTAACAATCCTGTGATGTTGCTGGAGTGCAGGAATGCCTTCCAGGACTGGTGTTGTGCACCCTGCTTCACTGGGACATCAGCCTGCAGGTGTGGGTGCAGGTGAGCAAGGGCAGGACTTACTTTCCTCCAGCATTCTCACCCAAGGAGCATTTCAGATAAGAAAAAGAGATGATGGATTCCTAATGTTCTGTGTACGTTTTTCCAAAGAAGTATCTCTGTTCTGGTTAACTAAAATCTAGCTAGGGCTGGATCCTGAATGCGTAAAGTGCCCTTCCATGGTGGGCAGAAAAACAGCCTCTAATATGTCCACACTCTAATCCTGGGAACCTGTGACATGTTGTCTCACATGGCAAATTGACGCTGCAGATGTGATTATGGCAGGGACCTCGAGATGGGCAGAGGGTCCTTGGTTATCTATGTAGGCCTAATCTAATTAAAAGTGTCCTCAGAAGTGGAAACACCAATCAGAGGGACTTGGCTCAAGATGCACTTGGTTCTCTGAAGATGGTGCAGGACTCTGGAAGCTGGGCTAGCTGTGGCTTCACAACCAGCAAGGAATCCTCTTGCCTTAGTCTTAGTCCTAACACCAGGAGGAACTCAGTTCTGATAGCAGCTGGAATAATTTTAGTCCATTAGACCCATGTGGGACTTCTAGCCTCCAAGGCTGTAAATCACTGTTCTCACTGCTGCCATGACCCTAGGAGCCCTTTTCTGTTCCCCTTTTCTTCCAGACGTGGAATATTGGGAAACAGATGACCTGAGGCTGGAGTTCCTTGGGGAGCAAGCTGGTAGGGCTGTGGAAACTCCAGCCAGGGCTTCCCACCTCCAGCCAACCCTGCTCCTCTGTGCAGTGTGCTCCAGTGGGCCCCTCAGGACCCCAAGTGGGAAATCTAAACCATGTAGACTGACATGTAGTTACATTACTCACACCTGGAGTACTCTTAACATTTGAGTCCAAGATGGAGTCATATGTTTACGTCTCTCTGTGTAAGAGACAGGTGTTCCTAAGAGAGGCCTTATGAAATGAGTGGGTTCATTTCTTCTCATCTGCTGAAGGGCAGGGAGAGTTATGAAGAAAACCAGAAAGCTCAGGCCAAGTCCTGGTTTAGCTGATGCTGCAGGAACCCCATAGTTGCAGAGGTAGGTGGCACTGGGAGGGATATTTCACAACCTAAAAAAATAGAAGTGGCGCTGTTTTCCAGCTCTCTGTTACAGGGATTTTTACATTTTGAAGGTCACCAATTCAATTTGAAAGTTAATAGTAAAAAGGCATATAGGGTATTAAAGAAGAAAGGGCAGGTTATTTACAAAACTAAACCTGTGGCTGGTTGTCTGGTCTTGAAGAGCTAGCTGTGTATGCTTGTATGGATGTTCAGGGAAGACGGAGGGATGTGAAGTGAGTGTGAAGGAGCCCCCGCCTGCCTCCGAGTGGCCACCTGGGCATTTGGCTCTCCAGGTCTTTTTTTTTCCTTCAGTCTCCTATCACAATGTTGGTATAATTTTCAAAATTAGCATCAGACTTAAAATCCAACTCATTCCACAGAGACATTTTCTGGTGCCCTTGCTTGTGTGGAAGGAGGTCAGAGTAGCTGGAGGGGCGTGCCTGGCACATCCCTCGAAGGTAGACTGGCAGATGCATGGTCACCACCTCCGCTGGAGCAGGGCCTCTCCTGCAGCCATGTGCTAGCCTGGCCTGGGGAGCAAGTGCCTGCCTGTGTTAAACCTTTCACTCTTGATTACACAGAGTGGTCATGGGAAGCATAAAGCTGATGGGCCTGGCCTATTCATCCCTTTCTATGGTTTCTGAAGCAAATCACAGCCATAGTTCTATTTGTGAATAGTTCAAAATGTGTCTCTAGAGGATTAGGACTCCAATAAGCACAAGCACAACACCCTTCATCCATAGGAAAATGAAAAGCCCCTCACTACTCTTCTGGGCTGTCTCCTTTGTTCCTTATTTATTTATTTTGAGTCAGAGTTTCACTGTGTTGCCAGGCTAGAGTGCTATGGCATCATCATAGCTCACAGCAACCTCAAACTCCTGGGCTTAAGTCATCCTCCTGCCTCAGCCTCCTATGTACCTAGGACCACAGGTTCCTGCTGCAACACCCGGCTAGTTTTCTATTTTTAAGTAGAGATGGGGTCTCACTCTTGCTTAGGCTGGTCTCAAACTCCTGAGCTCAAGTGATCTACCCGCCTTGGCCTCCCAGAGTGCTAGGATTACAGGGTGAGCTACTGCACCCGACAAAATGAAGTCTTTTTTTTTTTTTTT